AGCAGCTGAAGAGAAGGCTCTGCTCGTGTTTCTGGTGATTTTAATGCTACTGTTGCACCTCCTCTTGCTTCTCATCAGAGAGGCAGGGTAGAGCTTCACAAAGAAGACTTCAGCAGGATATTCAGATCAAAAGGAATGAAGGCCATAGTAGGTGAAATAACTTTCAAAACACTGGAACTCACTTTTAAAGCAGCAACATCACACTTTCAGATGCCCGATCACATAGACAGGTCTACAGCTATGTCCTTATGTTCCACCATTTATTGCTTATATGTTTGGGTTGGTAGCACACTGGCATCTGAATTACAATTCTCTGGGTTCAAGTCCCATTCCAGAGCTTTGCACAAGAATCAAGGCTGAGCCTCCAGCACAATATTGACCACTACGCCTTTGGTGGTGTCACCTTCTGGTTGAAGCATTAAACCAAAGTTCACCTGCTTGAATGGGTTCATGCAGAAGATCCCAAGGGGTTATTTCAAAGAAAAGTAGGAGAAGTTATCCACGATGACCTGATTAGTATTTATAATTTAATAAACATCACAAAAACAGATGATTGATCGTTATCACTTTTCTGTTTGTGGGAGCTTGCTTTGTACAACTTTGCTGGTAAGTTATCTGTATTCCAACAGTGACTTTACTTCATTAAAGTGCCTTTCAGACATCTGGCAGTCATGAAAGGCACTATATAAACGAAGTCTTTCAATCTCACTCTTTAGAGACTGCTTAGTTTTTTAGCTTCATTGCTAAATGTCTGCCTGTTTTGTATTCACCATATTGACCCTGGTGAGCTTCACATAGTTTGGGAAATCTGTTACAGCTAGAATTCAGAGTTAAAGGCTCAATTAGTTTTCTTTTCCATATTTACGTGAGCCACTCAATAGCTCCATGGGGCTTTCCCATTCACCAGCAACCCACCCGAGTAAAACCCAGAAATCAGTGGGATCGTGTCAGCTTTTTGACCTGACATCTGTTTTCAGGGTTCTAGACCCTCACCTGCACTAGAGTGCCACTTCTTTGATATTTCAAAAACTGCTGATGACTCTCGATGCCCCGAAAAGGTCATCAAGTTGCTGAGTTATAAAATAACCAGTGATCAAAGAAGGGCTAACCTAACCTTCTTGGGATGCCAGGGATGGTTCATAAATGTTGGCCTTGCCAGCAATTTCCACACACAAGAACAATATTTCAAAGGGACTCCATATTACATGTTGCCACAAGTGCTGCAGACAGGAGTTTTGTCTGGAGTTTCTTGTTCTGTCACTTCTTGCCTCCAATGATAGTCTTCCTGCTTTGGAGTCAGAAGGTCCTGCGGTTGAACACCACTCTGGACAGTAGCAGTGAGGTGAAGAACTGACCTCATGTTTGGAATTCCAGGTTGATATCCAGTGAGATCCTAGCTCTTGATGGGTTTAGGTAATCCCCTTCCTTCTCATCTTATGGCAACCCATTAAAAATCTCCCCAGTTTGACTAAACTCCGAGAATCAGCTGGGAGAAAAACAGTCACGACCATGAAAAGAGCATTTATACCAATGTCTGTTCAACTGTTAAGCAGCAAATGAACAGAAGGCAGTGGTATAGTGATAACATCACTGGACTAATGATCCAGCAGTCCCAAGAAAATGTTCCAGGCACAGGCCTACGATGGCAGATGGTGAAATTTGAAATCAATTTTTAAAAATCTGACCAAGTATCAATCATGTAACCACTGTTGATAGTCATAAAAACCCATCAATTCCACTAATTTCCTTTCACTTAGGGAAGGAAATCTGCTATCTTTACCTGGTTTAACCTACATGTGACTCCAGACCAACGGCAATGTGGTTGACTAGTAATTGGCATCAGGCAATAAATGCTAACCTAGCCAGTCATGCCTTCATCCCATGAATGAATATTAAAAACAGTCTTCTTTGCAGTGATTTTAAAGATGGGTTAAGACAATTTACAATGCTTATTCATAAAATTTCAGACAACAATATTTTTGAATGTGACATAACGTCAAGCCCTAATCCACATCATCACTATAATAAAGGACATTCCCATCCATTTCCACATTCTACAATGAATAATGAACAATTACATACTGAGAGAGATAATCATTTGTGTCCCATGGTGCATTTCTATCATTATTTATTTCACCCCATAACCAGAAACATCAAGTATCTTTTAACCAAAGAAAATGCTGGAGAAACTGAGCACATCTGGCAGCATCTGTAGAGTTCATATTTCAGATCCAATATGACTCTTCTTCAGAATTGACAGGGTTCCAAACATGTGTTTTATTCTATTGACAAAAGGGGATGTAGAGCAAATGGAACAGATGGTGAAAGTGCTCAGAGCAAAAGACAAAGGGAGAACTAATAGTAGTAGAGGAGTGACGGAGATGCAAAATAGATGTAAATCATAAGTGTGAATAGTGGAAAATATGTCAGCTCTGCTGAAAGGTAACCCATGGAAACAAGACACTAGGGTTTAGGTTGGGGGGTGGGGGCCAGAGTTTGGAGGAGAGGGGAAGAAGAAAGTGTAATCTAAATGGAATACAGCGTTCAATGTCAGATGTTGTTGAGCTCAATATTGAGTCCCAAAGTACTTAAGCAGTAAACGAGGTTCTGTTCCTCCAGCTTGTGTTGTGCTGCACTACAGCCGACTTATTTCCAAAGGTTAGCATGACAGCACAATGGTGTATTGACATGGCAAGTAACTGGAAGATTGGGGTGATTATTAAAACATGTACAGTTCTTATGGGACTTGATACGGTACATTTGGAAAGGTTGTTTCCCCTTGAGGGAGAGTCTAGGACCAGGAGGCATGTTCTCAGAATAGGAAGTAGTCCAATTCAGATAGAGATGAAGAGGAATTTCTTCTCTCAGAGGGTAGTGAATCTGGGAATTCTTTATCGCTGAGGGTGGTAGAGGTTGACTTGTTCAGTATATTCAAGGCTGAGATGGACAGTTTTTTTAATCAGTCAGGGAATCAAGGGCGATGAAAAAAACGACAGGAATGTTGAGTTGAGGATTGTCAGATCAGCCATGATATCATTGAATGGTGGAGCAGACTCGATGGACTGAATGGCCTATGTCTACTCCTATGTCTTATGATCTTCTGTTCTTATTCTTAAAAAGAGATGTTCTACAAAGTATTCACCCAGTCTGTGTTTTGTCTCATCCATTTGGAGTAGACCATATTGAGAGCTCTGAATACAGCAAACTAGACTGAAAGATGTACAAGAAAACCTGGAGCTTCATCAGGAAGGTGTATTTGGGGACTTGGACAGTAAGGAGAGAGGAGGTGAATGGGCAAAGCGTTACATCTTCTGTGATCACATGGGAAGGTGCCATGGGGAGTTAAGAAGTGTTTGGAGTGATGGAGGAATGGACCAGCTATCACGGAGACAATAGTCCCTGTGGAATACTGACAGTGGAGGGGAGGTGTGTTTGATGGCAGTGTCCTGCTGGATGTGGTGGAAATGGACAATCTTTTGAGCGCAGAACGTGATGGAGTGGAAAGCGAGGACAAAGGGAATCCTGTCTTTGTTCCGGGAAGGAGGCAAAGGGGTGAGAACAGAAGTTCAGGAAATGGGCGAACTCAGTTGAGGATCCTTTTAACCATGGTGGGATTTGTTGGTTGAGGAAAAAGGAAGATATATCAGATCTACCCTGTGGAAGGTGAAAGGCCCAGGAAGTGGACAGAGGACTCAAGTCCAATAAAGTGGCATGGAGGCAATGGTGATGGAAGAAGAGTTCAATGTCATACTGTGCCTGCAATTCATTGGTATGATGGTGTAAGAGGATAAAATGGAATCCTTTACTGAGTATAAATCCCTCAGCATCAGACAGAAGGTCAGAAGTTATCATGAATACATGATAGAGGCATGATTAGAAGATGTAAGTCATTTTGGATTTGAAATGTTGGCTCTATTTCTTCCTCCACAGATTCTGCCGGACATGCAGAGTGTGTCCAGCACTTGCTGTTTTTATTCCAAATCTCAGCATTCACAGTACTTTCATCCTTTAATTAGCATGAGATTCTATAGTGGTTACTCAGTTGCATTTCTGAGTTCACTAGATAATTTACATTGTCCAAGCAATTTCTTTCCATACCCGATTTTGCTGTGACCACTGTAAAAGTGTTTGCAAGTCGGGATTGTGTGCTGAGCTGGACAGGAACATTCAGGTGGTGGTGGTGGTCCATCTGCTTGCTGCCCTTGTCCTTCAAAGGGCAGGGGTTTAGGAAGTGTTGTCAAAGGAACATTGGCAAGTTGCTGCAGTGCATCTTGTGGATGGTATACACTGCTACTGCTGAGTGGCACTGTTGGAATTCCCAGTGGGAGATAAACCATGACTTTCTGCTCATCCATTTTACTCTGATTATGAAAACAATGATGGGCAAAACATGTGGACATTACATGCTATTACATAAAATATATGGAAGTGAAACAGGCCATGTGGCCCAAACATTCCATACTGGGCTTTATGCTTCACTCAAGCCTCTCCCATTATTCCCCATCCAAATCCATGGTTGTTTGGCTCAGTTGGTCAGATAGCTCACTTCTGATCTAGAGTGATAGCAATGGGTTCTGTTCCTGTACTGGCTGAGATCACCATGAAGATCCTACTTTCTCAACCTTATCCCTCACATCAGGTTAAATCACCACCAGTCATCTCTCTGTCTAATGAGAGAGTGGGACGATGGCAGTATTCCACTGTTTTTCTGATCATCAATGTTAAGTTGACTAATCTGTAATGTCTTGCACTCACTCTCAGAAGGTTAGGACTTTCCCCAGAAATACAAATTCAGAACATCACTTTTCTTACTTAGTAGTCTTGATCTGTCCTTGGAGAAGTTTTAGAGATTATAAATACTTAAATTGTATCTGTAACTGGTCTCACAGGAGAATGCGGAACCACAGCAATCTCATCAGGTCACACATTGCACAGTCTCTCAGGTTGATCTACTTCAATCTAATATGCCAACTGTTTGAATATAACAAAACACTTTTTACCATCACTGCTGGTGACTTGCAGTTTGAGTCTTGTAGTAGCAATTTGTCCATATTTGTCATCAGTTGCTGTTATCTGTCCAAGTACAGCAGGTAGAAATCACACATTAATACTAGGCACCACAAAATGACAGATCATCATTCTACAAATCAGCTGAAATGGGTAACACTTTCATTGTGGTTGCAATTGGTAAGGTGATAACGCCCATAATATTTGAGCTCTATGATACACAATCATAACAGTAAATCAGGAGGTGCATTAAATGGTGCAGAAAGAAAGAGAATGTTGCAAAGAGAAACTGTCAGCTTGACCAAGGGCTGTTTGGAATGGAGAAAAACAGATTATTTTCTAAATGTGGAAAGCTAGTACTTTAGAGGAACAGAGGGACTTAAGTCACCTGATGAAGGAGCAGAGCTCCGAAAGCTTGTGATTTTAAATGAACCTGTTGTGACTATAATTTGGTGTTGTGTGACTTCTCACTTTGTCCACCCCAGTCCAACACGGACATCCCTACGTCATGACACAGAGAGAAACAGACAAAGGGTTTCATCCACCAGACACTAACTGTACATAAATACTGTTTTCTTAGTTTAATTTCCCTTCATATTTGTAAAATCCTGATGCCAATGGAATAAAGAATCTCTGTTTTCTGATCTTTGGGTGTCAGTGTGCTTAAATTGGGTGTTATGTCAGAAAGGATATAATCGCCTTGATGAAATTCACCAGAGCGATGCTCAAGTTAAAAGGGTCAAATTATGAGGAGAGGAATACATTCAAGCTTATTTTTCCTTTTGTATAAGATTAATGTTTGTTTTTACTTCTTTACACTGAGGTCAGTGTCACTGGTAAAGCTAGAATTTGTTCTCTATCCTAAATTGTCTTCAGACATTTCAAAGGTCAGTAAAGAATCAAGTAAAGGTCAGTAAAGAAGCCAAACGTAGGCCAGATCTTGTAAAGATGGCAGATTGTAGAGTCATAGAGACGTACAGCATGGAAACAGACCCTTCAGTCCAACTCATCCATTCTAACTAGATACCCGATATAAACCATTTGCCAGCATTTGGTCCATATCCCTCTAAACCCATCCAGATGCCTTTTAAATATTGTAATTGTACCAGCCTCCACCATTTCCTCTGGCAATTCATTCCATATATGCACCACTGTCTGTGTGAAAAAGTTCCCCCCTTTTATATCTTTCCCTTCTCACCTTAAACCTATGCCCTCCAGTTTTGGACTCCCCCACCCCAGGGAAAAGACCTTGCCTGTTTATCCTATCCACGCCCCTCATGATTTTATAAACCTCTATATGGTCATCCCTCAGCCTCCGACACTCAAGGGAAAATACTCGCAGCCTATTCAGCCTCTCCCTATAGCTCAAACCCTCCAACCCTGGCAACATCCTCGTAAATCTTTTCTGAACCCTTTCTAGTTTCACAACACCCTTCCGAAAGCAGGGGGACCAGAATTGCACGCAGTACTCCAAAAGTGGCCTGAACAATGTCCTGTACAGCCACAACATGACCTCCCAACCCCTATACTCCATGCACTGGCCAATAAAGGCAAGCATACCAAATGCCTTCTTCACTATCCTGTCTACCTGCGACTCCACTTTCAAGGGACTATGAACCTGTACTCCAAGGTCTCTTTGTTCAGCCATGCTCCCCAGAATCTTAACATTAAGTGTATAAGTCCCATTAGTGAAGCAGATGGGTTTTTACAATAATCAATTATAAATGCCATGGTCACCATTATTCAGACTATCCTTATATTCCAGACTTATTAAACAAATTCAAATTCTACCAGCTGCTATAGTGGAATTTGAACTCATGTCGCCAGAGCATTAGCTTTGGTCTCTTGTTTACTAATCCAGTTAAATTGTCACTATACCCCCAGTTGTTTCAGTTAATTAAAGAAGTTGATCATTGGTAATATGTTTTCCGTTGAAAATGGGCAGACTTGTTAACACCTCTATTAAATTTCTTCTTCATGGTGAACAAACTCAGCTTGTTCAGTTTGTACGCGTACCTGAAATCTCACATCTCCTTGCTGCCCTCTCTGAGGCTTTCACAGTGTCCAAAACAGGACATAACTTCAGCTGAGACCTAACCAGTAATTTATCAATGCTTGTGTATAATTTTGATGAGGTACAGGAGGGGAAGAGACAACGAGAGAGAATGGATTAGGGAGTGCTGAGAGAAGGAGGACAGGGAAGATTTCAGACAGACAGTATATTTTGTGCTCTGTGGAATATGCACTCCTATCAGAAAGCAAGTACTAATATACTTTATTTTGTGTTGGCAGAATCTCCTTTATCCCAAGGCTCACTAGACTCCTGGTATCTCTATCTAAATAATGCAGTGACAGATGGGTCTTTGGAAGCATTCAAATCCTAATGTCTCTTACATTGAACTGAAATGCATAGCTACCGTGCGCCATGCAATCAGGAGCCTGTGTTGCCAAATTGACAGCATCTGCCCTAGATGCCAGTACCTATTCTACTGCCAACGCACAATGTCCTGCTCCCATCTTCTTCATTGTCCTGTCAGACTCCTTGCCTTTTCCAGTCTATCCGCTCACTGTAAACTTCCCTCATGTTCTTACTTATTACAACCAGTGTTATAGGCTTTGAATGAAATGTTTTTATTTACTGAATGAATGAAATCAAAGTTAGTTCTTAACCAAGATTTTCATTTGCCACTCTGTCCTGAGGCACCAATTATCAATTGGGATAGTTTTGAATGGCAACTCCATCTCAGCTTTGCTCCAAGCATGATCAAAAGTGCTAAATTCCAGAGGTGGAGTAAGTGTGACTGCCATTCACATCAAAGCTGCAACTGGAGTCAATGGGAATCAGGTGGCATATTCTGCACTGGTTTAAGTCAAAATTAGTGCAATGGAAGATGTTTGTGGTTGTTGGAGGCCAGGTTATTGGTGGAACATCATTAGAGGAGTTGGCCAGAGTTGTTCCAAGGTCCAACAATCTGCTTCATCAATGGCCTTCGTTCAATCATGAGTTCAGAAGTGGGGATGTTCATTTACAATTGTGCAATGTTCTGCACCACTCATGATGTTTTTTCAACTCTCTATTCCCAAATGCAGCAAGCCTGATCAACATCAAAGTTTGCATCGATAGGTGGCAAGTGATATTTGTACCACACAAATTCCAGTCAATGACTGTCTTCTACAAGAGAGAATCTAACCATCACCACTTGACATTCAATGGCATTGCTTACACCGAAAACCCACTTTCAATATTCTGGGGGTTACCATTGACTAAAAACTGAACTGGACCAACTTTTTAAGAAACTGTGGCAACGACAGCAGGTCAAAAGTTAGGAATTCAGCAAAGGGTAATTCACTTCCTGACAAATTAAATCCTGTCCATGTCTCAAGCAGGAACTTGAAGGAATAGTCTCCATTTATTGGATTCATCCAGTTTCAAGAACATTCAAGATACTTGACACCATTCATGACAAATAGTCCACTTGATTGGCACCCCATTTAACACTCTGAACATTCACCTCCCATCACCATGATACTCAGCAGTGTGTACAATTTACAAATGCACCACAGGAATTCACCAAGGCTTCTTCAAAAACACCTTTCAATTCTGAGACTTCTACCACATAGAAAAGCAAGGAAAGTAGTTGCATGGAAGCAGTACAACCCACAAGTTCCCATCCAAGCCACACACTCTCTAGTGTTGAATACTGCTGCTCCTTCTCTGTTGCCAGACTAAAATCCTGGAATTCTATTTCCACTCCATTGTGGCAAACCCAGACTGCAGGGACTGCAGTGGTTCAAGAAGATGGCTCAACACTACCTTCTCAAGGAGAATTTGGATTGGGCTTTCCAGCAGGGTCCACATCCCATAAATTAGGAATGGGAATGCCAGACATCTTCAATGACCTTGTGGGATCTACACTGCATTATGCTACTTTGATTAGATTAATGGACAGTTATTGTACACTGTGTGAAAACAGCAAGTTAAGAGGGAGAAGTCTTACCGATAGATCATATTCGGTGGATGCAACAAGTTTAGTCTTAGTAAAGATAAATCCATCTCTGTTTATGGTGAAATTATTACTTGGTGTAATTTTATATTTTATTGAAGGATTTATTTTCTGCAAAATAGAAAAGATCATTAAACAATGTGACTAATATATGACATCAAATTCTGAAATTGCATAAGTCAAGATACATAGACAGACATAAATCATCCTTGATCTAATATTCCATTCTAGTCAAGACAGGGAAATCTGGATCAGGATCATAATCAGCAGTAGGAGAAGATAACGGTGATATCCTGTGGCAAAGAGAGGTAATCTGATGAACAGTAATGAATGGAAATGATATTGATGCATGGTGAGGAGGTATTGATGTAGAAGAGAGAAGTGTTGATGAATGGAGAGGGGTTGTTGATGGTCAGAGAGGGGTATTGATGGATGCAGAACAATAGTGATAAGCAAATATTGTGTATTGATGGACAGTGGGTGGTAGTAAAGAACAAAGAAGGTATTAGGGATGAATCAAGAGAGAGGGTATTTATGAATAGAGAAGGACATAGAATGAACAGAGAGGGGTGTTAATGAAAAGAATGGGAATGTTAATAGTAAGGGGTATTGATGAAAAGAGAGAGTGAATGATGAATAAAGAAGGCTATTAATGATGCATAAATGAACAGAGATTGGATAGAAGTGAGTATGATGAATAGATAGGAATATTGATGGTCAGAGAATGATAAAGTAAAACAGAAAGGGGTACTGATTAATAGAGAAGGATATTGATGAATATGGGGGTAACTAATACACAGAGAGGTGTATTGATGAATGTAATAGGCTGTTGTTGAACAGAGAGTGGGGCCATCATAGGAAAGGGCAATATTGCTAAGACTCTATTATGTTGTACAGATTAATCATACAATTAAGTCTATGTGTGTTCCCAAATCAACCCACTGCTTTTTTTTTACTTACATCAGGAAAGTCACAATCCTCAGCCTTAATTGTAAGAGGTTTTGAGGTTGAACCTTGTTCAAAGACAATACTTTCAGGTTCTGAGTTTTCTCGTATATTCCCATAATACTCCACCTTTGTAAACCGTGGTGGGCATTTGTTTACTTTCAAAACATTGAGAGTAACAGTGGTCGTGAAGTATTTGTAGTGATCATTCTCCTGATAAGCCTGTGAGATAAAAACAGATGATTATATTTTCGACAGCCACACCCAATGATGCAGTCTCTCATTGGGTCAGTGGAGCCTCTAGAGGTTATTGGGTTCTCTCAGTGTCAATGGAGTTACCTAGGATCTTGCAGTGAATGGGGGTCTCCTGGGGTCAGTAGGATTTCTCAGTGTCAGTGGGATCTCTCGGACTCAATGCACGTTCTCAGGATCAGTGAATCTCTAAGGGTCAGTGAGGTCTCTTGGGTTAAATAAGGTCTCTTGGGGCCTCTAAAAGTCAATGAGGCCCCTCAAATTTAGAGGGTCTCTGAAAGACAGAGGGGTCTATCACGCTGGGGTCCCCTGTTACTGGGGTCTCTGAGAACCAACGGGATCTCAATGGGTTAGAGCAGTTTTGTGGGGCAGGTATGAGCCTCCTAGCTCCTTGTGATCTCTTGGATCAGTTGATCACCCAAAGGGATTGAGGAAGAGTTTTCTGGAATATTTTTCCCACTAATGGTGGTGTGCCTATTTTCTTCATTTTAACCAGGAGGATATGTGCATCTATTGAGTAGGCATCTATCATGAATCATAAGGCATCACAGCTCTGTGGTGGATAGACCAGGAGGTGTTTACTGATCTAGCACAGCTATCCATGTCTGTTGTTTTAGAAAGATGTTCAGGCAGTTTTGCTCCAGTCAATCCGATGCTCAAAAGAAATACACACCAAGGACCTGGTGTAGAGGTCGATACATGCCAATTTTTGATCACAAAAAGTAGCCCTTAAGAATTTGGGAACATGTAACTGAAAACATTAACCAGCACACCCAATTCCACAATCCATATTCCCATTAACCAAAACTTCTTGTTGGGAATAGAGCTTTCCAAAATTTACCATGGTCTAAATTCTCCCATTAGATCAGAAATCCTGGGGTGTACAATTACAAATCTCTGTGTGATTAGAATGGGATTGGGTTTTGATCACATGGAATTTTGACACATTACTCCTACAGTAAAATGCTGAACCTTTCACATCTAATGAATGGTTTTGAATGCAATCCTTGGTGCAAAGAAAAGTTAGTCAAGGATTTGAAAATGTTCTTCAAAGGAATTTTAGAAAGCAAGTGCACAGCAGCACACCCTAAACATTTTCACACTTTGACCCCATTTCAAGTCTAGAAAATTGTTGTGATTCCTCAGTATGAACTGAGAGCTGGATTGGGAGGTGACGGTTGGCAACCTGTCAGAGGGTGGGTGGGGAGGTGGCTGACTGTGAGAGTGGGAGTTTTTTGGAGCAGGAACACAATTGTTGTTTCTCAACTGCACCTCTATGGTTGTTGGCACTGCTTCAGAGCTCAGGACTCCACAATTATAGGTAGTGACCCCTTCAGGGGTCTCAAGCCCCACTTTGAGCAGACTTGGTATAGAGTTTGTCTTTTCTTTAAATCTGACAGTGATTTCTTTGAATGATAATGAGTCAAAGGAACCAACTTTCACATTACATTATTGCTGAGCTAGTAATCAGAAAAAAATGTACTTTTATCTTGAAGACGTAAGGGCTGGTGTACGTACCATGACTGTCAGTACAACCGGATTTAGGCTGGTTACAGGTTTACTCATGGTTATCTCCCCAGTGTTTTGGTTAATTTTAAAAGTATTTCCGTGATCTATGAAATGAAAATCAGTGAATAAAAATAAAACTCAAGGCATTTTACTCATTATGAAGTCAACATCAACATAAGACATTGTTAAATGCAAATTATCCAACCATAATCACTGTACAGGAAGCTGGGAGAGTACCAATCAGATCAGCTCCATTGGACACAATTGGGTTGATAAGCCCCTAGAATACAACAGCAGACAGATAACCTAAAGTCTGTACAAATTGCTGGCTAGGGCCCATTTAGAATATTATGGGGGTCTGAGTGATGCGGGGCATGGTGGGACTTGTGGTAGAATTGGATGAGAAGTCAAACAAGTTTGATCTCAACATCGAGATTATCACACTCCATTGCTTCTTGTCGAGTCACAAAGCAGGTCTCTGAGCTGCCTTCTTAAGGCACAGCTCACCTCATTAACATTTAGCTTCCTGTCTTACCAAGTGTGCCAATTCAACTAGATAATGAGAAATATCGACATGGAAACCAAAGCAGGGACCTGACAACTTCAGCATACTATTTGTTCTGAAGGACTTCCAGAGTCTCAGAGCACTGTCTGTGGGCTCCAACAACATGCCACATGCAGCCCATGTCCATGTGTTGTGGGGGGTTGGTGGGTGCAGTGTTGGAGAGGATGGAGGAGGAACCTGTAACCTGTAAATGCAGGACTGCAGGTGGGATAATTGGGGAATGCAGATTGTTGTTTCAAACGCAAAAGGTTTGAAGTTAAAGGAACACCGACTTCTTCACAGGGGTTTTCAACAAAACAATTAGACCACAAGCTTCAGCTGGTCAGGACGTGCCCACTTTAAAATAAGATCCAGCAAGTTAAAGGAGCCATGCAGCTTCAAGCAGCTTATAGCCCAAGTGTAGCTATTGCTGCCATGGAATCCAGGACACCAAAGTTTCAAATTGCAACCCTATTGGGAGTCACAACCCACAGTTTGGGACACCCTTCTGTATGAGCTGCTGCTTATGATGAAGGTTACTGCCACCATCCTCTTCAAGTGTAGGGAGCGTGGTCTGGTGTGATAGAGGAAAACCATTTCCAGGTCTAACTAGAAGAGTATCTCGTTATTAACAAGATATGTTTTATTTCCTGCATGCAACAGTTAGACATTACATTGATATGCTATGCAGTGTTACAGAGACTTTGAGAAGGATCAAGTTTTAGGGTCTGACTTCTTTGAGATCTTAAATCATTCTACCCAGAGTTCAATAGTAACCCTTTCAGACTCGCATACAACAGTGGGTGTGTTGGTAAATATGCAGCAAAGTTTTGGACAGACTCAAGTTTAGAGAGTGTAGAACATAAGAAACCAATGACCAATATTGAAGTTCAAAACCTGGCAGAGTTTGCTTTTTTGCCTTCCCTGCTTGGGAAATTCCCTGCTGCCGCCAATTTAATACCAGCAATGATGGCATGAGGTCCTTATGGAGCCCACTTAAGACTCTCAATTAGCATAGGGGCAGGAAGACCATCCCTCCCACATTATAATCAGGGTGGAGGTGGCAAGGTCACAGGGTCAACACTCACCACCCTTCTCCCTGATTCAATGTCCACCTTGTCTTCAAGCCTGCCTGATTGGAAAATAAGACCATAAGGTATAGGAGCAGAATTAGGCTATTCGGTCCATCGAGTCTGCTTACCGTTCGGCCATGGCTGATATGTTTCTCAACCCCATTCTCCTGCCTTCTCCCCGTAACACTTGATCTCCTTACTAATCGTGAACTACCTATCTTTGTCTGAAATACACTCAATGACTTGGTCTCCACAGCCCCCTGTGGCAATGACTTCCACAGATTAACCACCCTCTGGCTGAAGAAATTGCTCCTCGTCTCAGTCCTAAAGGGTCATCCCTTCACTCTGAAGCTGTGTCCTTGGGTCCTAATCTCTCCTATCAGTGGAAACATCCTCTCCAAATCTTCTCTATCCAAGCATCTCAATATTCTGTAAGTTTCAATCAGAGCCCCCCTCATCCTCCTAAACTTCATCGAGTATAGACACAGAGTCCTCAACCACTCCACATATGACAAGCCCTTCATCCCTGGAATCATTCTTGCAAACCTCCTCTGGACCCCCTCCAAAGTCAGCACATTCTTCCTTCAATATGGGCCCAAAACTACTCACAATATTTCAAATGTGGTCTGACCAAAGTTTTATGCAGAAGATCTCTACTCTTGTATTCTGGCTCTCTTGAAATAAATGCTTATAAATGGATGCTATAAAATTCTACAGAACATTCAAGCTGCTGCCTCACCATTGTTTGTAAAGATTTACCATAACTTCCATGCTTTTGTACATTGTTTTTATACTAATAAGGCCAAGGATTCCATATGCTTTTTAAACAGACTTCTTAACTTCAGAAATGTGCGCACATACACTCTCAAAGCTCTGTGATTCTGCTCTCCCTTTACAATTAAGCCAATTATTGCAGATAATAAATTAAACCTATAAATCAATAGACTATGGACCTTTTCATGCTAACTCACCATCCACCATTCTGTATTGAATCAAGGTATTGATTCCTTTATCACCATCAACAGCTTGAATCTGCTGAGGGTTTAGCTGCAGTGGACCAGTCTGCAATAAACAAGAGAAAGAGCTTCAAGTGATGAGAGAAATGTGAGCTAGAAAATGACATTTAGGAAGTCCTGATTTACTGCTACCTCATTCTTGCCTTGCGTGATATTTCCCGTGTACACTGCATTAAGGCAGATGCTGGCAGTGGAACCGAGAATTTCAGAACAGGGTTCAAACACTGGTGGCTTGTTATCTTGATCCAAAACAATAATATTAATGGTCACTGTATCAGCCGGAGGATCATTTGGACTTCCCTGTAACAGCGAGAAGATAAAAAGACCTACATTTAAGAACAGCTTTCATAGCACAAAACAGTTTACAAAAATAACAACAGCTGAAATTGATATAGTGTTTTTAATGTAATGAGACATCCTGTGGCTTTTCACAAGAGCAGTATTTAAATAAAAATATAACTTGGTGTCACATAGGTTTTAATGCCTGTTTTAAATGCAACAGGAGAGGTAGAGAGGCAAAATGGTTTATGCAGGGTATTCCAGAGTTTGGGACCCAGGTAGATGAAAGCATGGTAACCAGTGGTCTAGTGTTTCCAACCCAGGATGCTCAAAGGTCAGAATTCAATGAGTGCAGATATTGTGGAGCATTAGGGTTTTGGAGAGGATTATAGAGATATGGAGGAAACAGGCAATAGAGATATTTGAAAACAAGGGTAAGAATTTTAAAATCAGAATTTTTGGAAGTCAACAAGCACCAGGGTAAAATAATAGCAGGACTTAATATGATACAGACAGCAGAGTTTTAAATTTCTTCATGTTTACACAGGTAGAATTTGGAAACCAGCCAGCAGTACATAGGAAGAGTTGACCTAGAGGTAATAATGAAAGGAATGAGGATTTTAAAAACAGTTGGGCTAACTTAGGGTGAGGTTGAGCAGTGTTATGAAGCTCAAAAGGTACAGTCTTTGTGAATATGAAGTTGAAACTTTATCTTGGCAAGTACAACAGCAAGGTTGTGACAAATTGGTTTAATATCAGAATGTTTCCAAAGAGAAGGATGGAGTCAGTAATTTTGAGTTGGTTCGGGCACAATACCTTCAGGCTTCTCAAAATTTAACTAAAGGGTATGTCTGCTCCCCCTGGTTGTTGGATAATCAGTTGTAATGCCATCAGCATCAACACTTTCTCATTATTGATTCTCCGAATGTTCCCTCAGTACAGCTCCTCAGTTGGCGCAATAGTGCCTCTCTGAGGGTTCAGCAGTATGTTGGTACTGACCCACTGACATGGCATATTGGCTCAGCACTGTCTTTCCACCATGCACTGTTCCCTCATGACTGACTCTGACAATGCAGCGCTGGCTCAGTACTCCCTTCTTACAGTGTGGCACTCCTTCAGCACTGACCCTTAAAAAGATCAGTGTTCCCACGGTATTGCCACTCCAGTAGGTGCAGCACTCCCTCAGCACTGATCCTCTGACAGTGCAGCACTGTCTGAGTACTGACTCTCCAAAAGAGTAACACTCCCTCGTTACTCCCTTTCAAACAGAGCAGTGCTTCCGCAGCATTGCTCCTCTGATAGTGCAGTGTTGCCTGAGTACTGAGTCTCTAAATGTGTCATTCCTGCAGTACTGACCCTCTGATAGTGCAGCTCTCCGATTATGGACTCATGAAAGAGGAGTACTCCCTCAGTACTGATCCTCTGAATAGGTAGCACTCCCTCGGTACTGCACTTCAGAAGTACAGTGCTCCCTCACTGGTGATCCTTTGACAATATAGCACCATTTCCATACTGACCCTCTGAAATTGTTGCATTATCTTCTGTACTGCACAGAAAATATCATTTCATATCATGTGATCAAGTCACTGAGGTGGAACGTGAACCTGCAAATTACTGACTCAGAGGTGAGTGTGACTGAGCCAAAGCTGACACTGCATAATAATTAAATTCCAATCATATGGACTCCTTAGAATCTCACAATGCCTCCAAAGTATAATTGTGAAATATACATTGAAATCTCACCATTGCAAATAAAATCAGTTGTAAGCTCTTGGTCTTCTCATAATCTATTGGCTTTTTGAGAATAAGCTCGGGTGTATTTTGGGTCTTCAACTTGAAGTATTTTGCTCCATCCTACGGAAGGCACAATACATATGGATTAATTGAGTTCAGTGATGTGACATTGCTTTATATAATCTAATGGAAGTGATCTACGAGCTGGGAACTGATACTTACTGTGTTTGGATCCAAACGGTAGTAAATTTGGTCATTATCAGGATCATTTGCTGTCACTGTTTTCCAGGTTTTATTAACAGGGAATAACTTAAGGAGAGTGAATAAGATGTAGTAAATTTGTGCACAAATAGCAAGAAACTAGTCTTTAAATTAAGAGCAAACTAATTTGACATCTGAAGTTCATCCTAAGTTCTAAATTTCTTGAGTTCCTCCTTCCCTCCCATTTTTTGATTTTTAGCAACTTCTGGGATCTTACTTGTATCCTCAGTAGTGAACCCTATGCAAAATACCTGTTTAATTCAAGTCATCTAGTTTCCATCATTAATTCTCCAAATTCACATTCTATAGGGTAACACTCACTTTGTTAATAATTTTTCTTCTTTTGGGAACAATATTTATAGAAACTATTACAATCTATTTTTACATTTCAAAGTAGTTTTCACTCGTACTGTAATGTTTCTCTCATTATTAATCTTTTAGTCATTCTTTGCTTCTTTAAAAATATTCTGTATAAGCTTCTGGCCTGCCACTCAGCTTTTAATCATATGCTTTTTCTTTAAGTTTAATTCCATCCTTAACATTTATTTTAATTAACATGGAAGGCAGGCTCTTCCTTTGAATTTTTATTACTCATTGAAATATACATTTTCTGTGTATTCTGAAACATCCCATCAAAAGTCTGCCACTATATCTCTATTGACTTGACATTTCACCTAATTTGCCTGTTCATTTTTATCTAGCTCTGCTTCACGCCTTCATAATTGCTCTTATTTAAGTTTAAAGTACTACTTTTGGACACACTCTTCTCTATCTCTCAAACTGAATGTAAAGTTCAATTATATAATGATCATTTTTGCTGAGGAGTACCTTTAATGATCAATTCCCTTTGCTGCACAATTCCAGGCCTAGTATAGCCTACTCTGTCCTCGAAAAAAATGCTGTCCTGAGAAATTTTCCCAAAAATATTCTATAAACTTCTTATCGAGGCTAATTTTGATCATCTGATTTTTATCCAATCTACATGAAGATTAAAATCACCCTTGATTATTCATCATACCATTCTGATAAGCTCCCATTATTTGTTCCTTTATACTCTGCCCTACCATGTGGTTACAGTTAGGAGACCTGTACACCAGTACAATAAATGACTTCTTGTCTTTATCATTTCTCAACTCCACTCAAACTACTTCTACACTAGGTTTCGTAAACTTAGGTCACCCTTTCCTATTGTGCTTATACTATTAGGAATGAACAGAATCATATTCTACCTTTGTCTAGCTTCCTCAATGTCATGTACCCTGCAATATTCAGGTGCAAATCTACTTCATCCTGCAGGCATTTCTTTATAATGGCTATCAGATTGTACTTATTTATTTCTATTTATGTTATCAATCTTTTTTTTGTGCATTCAGATACAGAGCCTTTTGTTTTCCTCGTTATTCCTGGAACACTAATACCAACACTGTACAAGCACAGACCAACCTAACAATACAGACCCCACTTTAAACAGGAGCGGTGCCACACTCTCAAACCTGAACTTACTTATATTGTACCAGTCACTGAGCCACACGTTACTTTCTCTAACCTTACTTGCCCTACGCTAATTTTCATATGGCTCAGGTAATAATCCAGAGATTGCTACCTTTGAGGTTTCACTTCTTAATTTGATGTCTAGCTCCTCATACTGACTATGCATAGCCTCCTTCCTTTTCCTTCCTATGTCATTGGTATTTGCTTGGACTATGACAACTGCACCCTCCCTGTCCCGCTGCAAATTCTTCACTAGCTCTAAGCAGATGTCCCTTAACCTGGCACTGGCTGGCTCTCAATTCTGGCTGCACAGAGCAGTGTCAATCCCCTCCCCTCATTCTACTTTTCCCAGTACCACTACATTCATTTTGCTTTCTCTGATTGAATAGATTACTGTACTATGGTCAGTTAGCTGATCTACCCTGCAGCCTTCATTTTCATTCAAACAAACTGAAAATACTTCAAATTGGACAACGACAAAAGCTGATGTTTTTGCAAGCCTGCTCTGGGTGTCCCATGAACTGCTTCAGTTACAGCCACATTCCCCAGTCTCAGAAGACTCTATCCCAAGGAGAGAGTGCCTCCTGGTTCAAAATACTTAGGTAATTTTCATTTTGCTCAGGTAACCTTCCTTTTTCCCTTCATCCAATTCCTTTACTCACCAAACTCCCTGCACTTTGTTCAGAGTTGTGATTAGTGCTAAAACGCACTGATGTGCCTATATTTAAATGTTCTGAGTTAGCTCAGCCTCAGGTATAGAAAAAACAGTTTAACCTAGTTTCCTTAATGAACTAATGCAGCTGCTCTCCAGTAGAGAGCTCATATCTTCCTGCTTAATTATGGTTGGAATTTAGAATTTAAACATTGAAGTTCAGTTAGATGGTAAATGTGAAATACAAACTAAATTAGATTTTTGGGAGAGATACATATATTACAATTCCTTTTACTCACCCAGCTGCCATCACTCTGTTCAAAGTTACAATCAGCAACTGCAAATGTCTCACATTTGAGTGAGGCTTGGGCCATAAATACTTTTATCAACATTATATTGCCCATAATTTTCCAATCCTTCTTGGATCTCAGGATACTGTCAGAGGAATGAAAATTGCTAATATTGCACACTTGATGAAAAAGTAGTGTTCATGCGACATACTATGATATGCAATAAAGTCTCCTGAAGAAGCCTAACTTGAGGACAGTTCTTGACCTTCCCTTCTCCTTTATCAGCCTATCTTGAAGCCAATCTCCACTACATGACATAAAACCACACAATAAAGGAGGTACAATTCAAATTGGCATGCAGGATCAGAGAGACCTGGGGCACATGTGCATAAGTCATTGAAGGTGATAGAGCAAAATAAAGAAAGTGGTAAAAATATACTGGATTGTGGGCTTTATAAATTGAGGGGTAGAGTACAAAAGCAAGGAAATTACAGTGAACTTTTATAAATTACTGGTTCAGCATCAACTGTAATATTATTTCCAATTCTGGACATCATACATTAGGATGAATATGAAGGCATATCTAGAAAGATGATTTGCAAGAATGCGTCCAGAGAAGAGGAATTTTGGTTATGTAACTTGAGTACAGGCAGTGGGGCTGTTCACAAGGCAAAAAAGGTTGGAAAGAAATTCGATAGAGTTGTTCACAATCATAAGGGTTACAGTAGATAGAAACTCATCCAACTGGTGGAGGGATTTTGAACCGGGGTCGACAATTTAATGTAATTGACAAAATGAAGCAGTGGTGATGTAGGAAATTCTTTGTTACGCAGTGAATAATCAAACCTGCAATGCACTGCTTTGGAGAACAGTGGACGCAGATTCAATTATAGCTTTCAAAAGGGTGACAGATAAAAGTAGGATGTAGGTCTGTCTGTATTGCTCTTACAGACAGCCAGCATGAATAGAATCGGCTGATTGACCTTCTTATGTAACCTGCTATTCTATGATTCTATAGAGTGGTGGCACATTTTCAGTATAGAATGAGTGCAACGCTGCCCACCATACTATATATTAAAACGATTGTACGCAAATACTTCACTACAGTGAATGGAAAAAGAAATGAAATTGTTACCTTACCTCATTAATGTTGTAATTCAATACCTTTTGGGGGAACTTGGGAGTATTGTCATTCACATTGAGGATCTCAATAATTAATGGCAGTTGTTCCTTTTAATGAGAATTAGTAATAAAATCCCATCAAACAAACGAAGGCTTCAGTTTTAAATCTGTTGTTTGCCAATAATCTTTGAAATGCTTGACATTAACTGGATAATTAAAGCTTGTTACATAGATGTCAATGTGCAATGTACATCATTATGCTGTGATTTTAAAGAGTGTGCAGTAACTGAGAGGCTGGAAGGAGTAGCTATACAAATCAGTTGGTGCGGTAGGAAAGATTGTTTAAAAAATGCATAGAGTACAAAAACAAGAAAAAAAAGTTAAATTTTATAATTGAGTGTTTAGCTCAGTTCTGGGCATGATGCTTTAGAATTGGCCTGGGAAAGTCAAGGCTTTGGAGAAGCTGCACAAGTGGTTTTCTAGGGAGATCAGGGACAATAGTTATATGAAGATATGGAGCAGCAGGGATGTTTTTGCTCAGAGTCGAGCTGATTAAGAGGAACTTTGATGGAAATATTCCAAATTTTAAACTGTTTTGGAAGATATACAGATAGTCATTTCACAGTACAGGACATGAGTATTGCTGAAAATAGATATGTTTACTTGACGCTTTTCATCTTGCACCCATCAGGGCATTTTGCAAGAATATTACTTCAAGGATAAAACCAATATTTACACGACATGAAAGGAGACTGCTGTATGGTTGGCAACTAGAATCTGATTAGTAGAAATGGAGAATTGTACCCATTAATGCTGATTGACAGTTACAGCCAGGCTTTGATAAATTTTAAACCAGGCAGGTTGACTTTGAATTGGTCAAACCACTGCCCCCAAGAAATAAGCCAATGAACAGCTGTTATTTTGTTGAGTTCAAATAGGTACAGTGCATGCCCCTGTGCCAATCCAACTAATCTGCACATCTTTGGACTGTGGGAGGAAACCCACACAGGCACAGAGAGAACAGGCAAACTCCATACAGAAGTTGGCCAAGGTTGAGATCACACCTGGATCCCGGTCGCGAGGAGACAGCAATGCTATTCACTGAGCTACCCACTATTATGTGTTGCTTCTGGTACACATGAGTGCACCCACACAGTGTCAATCCTAATTGGTTGTTAGCATAATTCCTCACAAATTCAGGATTATCCATCAATTTTGCTTCCTATGGAGGGTAACCAGGTAAGACAGATTTGGTTATTCACAAAACAACCAGAGGGGAGATGAGGACACATTTTATTTGCAATGTGGTTGTTACCAGAACAGCTTGCAAGAAAGGGTGGTGGAAGCAGATTCAATAGTAGCTTTCAAAAGGCAATTGATGAATGACTTGTCAAAAATATTTACCATAGGAAAAGAGCAGGAGTAATGGTACCATTGTGTAACTGAGCAGCTCTATCAAAGCACTGGTAGAGATGTGCTGATTGACGTCTCTTGATGGTCTATCATTCTATGATTATTTTGCAAGCTGTCATGTTGGTGTGATTCATTATATTTCATTTTTCACAAAATTCACCCAGATTTTCAATAAGTAATGTAACTGTTTTACTTACCTGCAGCTTTCCACAGTTCAATGTGAATAATATTACAGGTGTCATCAGATTCTGTCAGACAACAAAGTACACAACAATGTCAGACTATAAACAGTGCCTTTCATCGTTCTTAACTTTATATATCATTCCAAAAAACAATATAATCATAACACACAGGATGACCATTGAGGTCAATGGTTTTACACAGTAGACATACACAACATGATGACAAATATAGGCCTGAGTTTTACACCCACAATTTGTATGTGTCGCCCCCCCCAACCCTACCCTCACCACAAATATAAAATATGGCACAGTGACATCAGATTGACAATACTGGCACCAGGTGCCAGTCTCAGAGAATACAGAAAGCAGATAGACAAGGAAATCAGAAGATTATCCAACGTTTTGAAATAAACAAAAACTATTGAGCTTCTTTTAAAAGAAATCACTTGCCTGCAATTTTTTCATCGTCTACTGCATTTTTCAGAATGTTGGATGGGACAAAGTTTGTGCGTATTTTTTTACGGTGGGTATAACAAGACAGCACAAAGATGACAGAAAAGGCTTGTCACCAGGACAATGACTGCAGGTTCTGAAAGCAGCATCTTTTTGGCTATTCTTGAATTCACATTGTTTCTTTTCAGCCTCCCATAATAAATAAAGACAGATTCAGAAAGTGGAAGCCTTCAAATTTGTAGCCGTGACCGATGTCCTGTATAATCTGTCTGACACATGATACCAGGGGAGGCAATGGTCTAGTGGTATTGTCACTGCAGAGTTAATCCAGAGACCCAGATAATGTTCTGGGGTTCCGGGTTCGAATCCTGCCACAGCAGATGGTGGAATTTGAATTCAATAAATATCTGGAATTAAGAGTCTAACGATGACCATGAATCCAGTGTCAATTGTCAAGGAAAAACCCATCTGGTTCACTAATGTCCTTTAGGGAAGGAAGCTGCCATCCTTTCCTGGTCTGGCCTACATGTGACTCCAGACCCACAACAATGTAGTTGACTCTCAACTGTCCTCTGGGCAATAAATGCTGCCTGGCCAGTGATGCCCTCATCCCATGAATGAATAAAGATAAAAAAATGTTCCAGCCGAGACTTCTAGCTGGCCACAGAGTCACCATTTACACTTCCAATTGGCCACCTTCCCACTGGATCGGCCACTCATTGACTTGGCTCACCGAGATGAGTGAGCGAGGAGCAAGCAGACCAGCTATTTGTCATTCTGCTTCCTGCACCTCGCCAATAAACATAAACCCCAGTACCCTGTCCCAGAACTTTCAGATGAGCTCACTGCTTTTGTGTAAATCCTTATGAATGCTTCTTTTGCCACTTGTGAGTTGAATCACAAGTCCCATGTCACTCATTCAATGCCTTACGTGGGGCATGAAGTGGGAGGACAGGAAGGCAACAGGAGATATTGCTGACTGGGAAGGAATGGTTTGAGGTACTCTTTCACACGTTACAGTTATACAGCCTGTCCCTATGGTGCTGTGAGCAATTGCCATTGGTTGAGAATTTACCATGCTCTAATTTAAAACAAAAACTGTTAGGGAAATAAAGAGTATTTTAGCCTTTATCACAAGAGGTTACTGTAAAGGTGTAAGAAAATCTTGCTGCTATTATGTTGTATATGGATCTGAAAGGGTTAATGTTGAGAAGTGCCTTAAGGACTCCACACTGTGATCATGTCATGTGGACCTGATGGGAGTACAGCTTAGGATCTCTGAGGTATAACAGCAAACGGCTGCTCCTAGTCTCAGTAATCAATGTAATTTGTACACAGTTGCTTAAATGTATATAAACGGCATCTTGTTAGAAACAAAAGCCTCTTCTTGTTAGACCAGCCAGTGGTTTTCCTCTAGTGCATGAGATCAGCAGGCCCTGTAAAACCCCACCTTAAAAGAGGATGGTGGCTGAAGGTCTACTGCATGATGAGCAATGGTGCAAACAGTCTCACGCAACAGAGATCATTGCTCATGCAACATATTACACAGAGCCTTGGTAACACTCAGCCTGGAGTACTGAGTACAGTTTTGGTTCCCCTTACCTAAGGAAGGATAAACTTGCCCAAAAGGGAGTGCAACAAAATTTTATGAGATTGATCCTGGGATGAGAGGGCTGTCATATAAGGAGAATAGAAGGGGCCTATATTCTATGCCAGTTCGAAGAATGAATAGTGTTCTTATCGAAATACGTGAAAGTCTGTGAAGTTGGAACATAGAGAGGCTGTCCAGCTGAGCTGGCAAGTGTAGAACCGGGGATCATAGTCTCACAATAACAGGTCTGAAATATGGGTATAAGAGCGGACAATTTAGTCCATCAAATCTGTTCTACCATTCAATGGTTGATTTATGATATAACTCCATTTCCATGCCTACATATCACTTAATACCATTAGCTGACAAAAAAGCGTTCAATTTCAAATGTAAAATTAATAGTTGATCCAGCATCAAATGCTTCTTACAGGAGAGAGTTCCAAACTTCTACCACCCTTGCAGTGTTAAGGTTTTTCTTAAGCTCACTTCTGAAAACTTAGACTGTATCACCGCATTCTGAACTTCCTGGCCGACAAATACTGTTGTGTCTAGTTACCCTCTTTGTTTCTTATGATATCTTCAAAATTTAGATTAAATCATCCCTAAAATTTCTAAATTTCAGGGAATTGAGGCCTAACTTGTGTAATGGCCCCTTGTAATTTAACTCTGGGAGTTGAGTGTCTTTCAGGTAAATCCTTTCCAAGGCCAATGCAACTATCTTCCTGTGTCTGTGTGGATCTCCTGTCTCCCTGTGTCTGTGTGAATCTCTTGTCTCTCTGTGACTGTCTGAAGCTCCTGTCTCCCTCTGACTGTCTGGATCTTCTCTCTCCCTGTGTTTGTGTGGATCTCCTGTCCCCCTGTGACTGTCTGGAGCTCCTGTCCCCCTGTGACTGTCTGGAGCTCCTGTCTCCCTGTGCCTGTCTGGAGCTCCTGTCCCCCTGTGACTGTCAGGATCTCCTGTGTCCCTGTGACTGGGGCTCCGGCCTCCCTCCGACCGTCTGGAGCAACCATTTCCCTGTGTGTGTCTCAAGCTCCTGTTTCCCTGTGACTGGGTCATTGAGATTACCTCATAATCTATCGTTTTTGTGAGCACCAGTGTGTTCCCTCTGACAGCAACATCAGGTGCCTTTGACGGATCTGCTATTGTAACAGGAGGATCCGTTATTGTTATATTACTGATGACCAGTCCTGCTTTGTTATTCTCTTCCACGTGTATAGGATTTTCTGAAACACAACAAGCTAAAGAAAGACAGAAAGGACGTTAAACTTACAATTAAATAGGGACAAACAAAACAATTGTTCACACGTAATGTGAAAGGTGTAGTTTACCGTTGTTGAAAGAGCAGTGGTCATTAGCAGCAGCAGTTGCATTTATCTGAAGAACTGCAAACAGGATGAACAGCAAGATGCAAGGGCCACAAAACTTGCGGCTTGTATCCATTCTCTCATGGACGCTGAAGATTTTTGCCAAAACTCATAAATAAAGCCTCATTAGGCCCAAGTCACTGAACCGAAACTGTCCCAGCCTCAACTGCTTCTTTCTGTTAACAGCTTGGAAGGAATCCGAATCAAAATAGACTGAGGGAAGTATTGGTGCTTGTTGTTCCAACCTTTGCTTCATGGCCTTATTACTTTATTGCTCTTCCGATACCCAGTCACCATCTAATTCCCAAAATAGAAAGTCATAAAAGCTGATTCCGCTTTGACACGACACTGGCTGCTGGTTAAAGGCTAATGAGATACAGTCTCACTTCAAGTGGTTGTGAATGTTTCATAGAATCCTTACAGTGTGGAAACAGGCCCTTCAGCCCAACAAGTCCACACTGATCCTCAAACCCAGACCCATCCCCTATAACCCACCTAATCTACACATCCCTGAACACTACAGGCAATTTAGCATGGCCAATCCACCTAGCCTGCACTTCTTTGGACTGTGGGAAGAAACCTGAGCACCCGAAGGAAACCCACACAGACATGGGGAGAATGTGCAAACTCCTCGCAGGCAGTCACCCGAGGGTGGAGTTGAACCTGGGTCCCTGGCGCTGTGAGGCAGGAGTGCTAACCACTGACCCACCGTGCTACCCTCTCCAAACTGTTGACAGATCTGAAAAATACATTTCCTGATAGATTCTTCTGATCAAAGTCTCCAACCTCTCTCCAAAGGCCTGTTAGATTGCTTCCAAGGGTGGGACTTTTAAGGAGGACACCAGCACCCCCAGCCCAGCTTTCCCAACCACCACTCATACAATTAATTGCCACTTAAGCACTTCCCCCAACTGTCTCTAATAGTTCACCAGCCTCAGAGGAGAGGGTGGTAGAGGGTTGTTCATGTCCTTTGGTGGATGTTGTGAATGAGATAGACCAGTTGCAAGTCGGAGTCATGCCTCCTCTTTGGGACTTCCCCCACCATCACCACGGTAATATCTGGCTCTGCTTAATCTACACTTAACATCCTGATCCTGGCCTTCACCATTTCTCATCCAGGGCACGGCAGCCTGGTCCCAGTTCCAAGAAGTGATCATCATTGGGAACTGAATGCTATCCCAGCAGTGTCCACAACTCTCAGTGGCACTCCTCAGACTGGAGAGCTATGACCAGCTCTCAGAGAGGGAGCTTCATCCCAAAGGGGCATGAGTCTCCCTCTGCCATTGAAGGATTTCACATTAATTCCCCTAAACACAATCTAGGAACACTTGCCTCTTGCTGCCCCTTACTCGGTTTCTATCCCAGTCTATACCCAGATAATTAATGACCCTATGATGTTGACCCCTCGCTAGAATTTCTTCGTAAATTTGTTCCTGTACACCATTCCCATATGGTGGTGATCTATAGATTGCATTGAACAATGTAGTTATATTCCTTAGTTCTAACCAAATTAATTCCACCCTTGACCTCTCTGAAACCTCTTTCTCCAGAACTGCAATGCTGTCCTTACCCTAAAACCCCCTTAAACCCCTCCTCTGTTTTTTCCCCTCTTCTTTATCTTCAGACTGTCTTGTAACCAGGAATATTTAACACCCAGACCTGCCCTTTCTCGAGCCAGGTCTCTGTTATCACACAGCATCATAATTTCACATGACAGTCTGCACCTTGTAGCTCTCCAATGTTATTAACTGCACTTTGTATATTCACATACATGCAGTGCTTTAGACTTCATTACTTTCTCTCTCAATCCAACTCCACTGATTATAATTTACTATTCTCTATTTTAGTGCTATCTGCCTCTCCCAGAATTTTGTACACCTTTGAATTACTTTCTATTATTCTGTCCTGGCTCCCACACCCTTGCTGGGTTATTTTAACATCTCCCCAACAGCACTAGCAAAACATACGGCAAGGCACTCAGCCCTAGTTCTGTTCAGGTGCAAGCTGTCCAACTTATATCGAGGCCATCTTTTGCAGGGCCCAGTGCCAGTGTCCCAGGAATTCAAAGTCCAGCATTCACCTGCTTTATCATCATATTTCTGTACTTGCTTGTGGGACTGAGACTAATCTGAAGATTGCTACTTTAGAGGACTGTTTTCACAGGGCTCCTTAAATTACGATTGCAGGCCTGCTTTCCCCTTTCTCTCTCTGTTGTTAGTATCAGTGTGGGATACCACCACTGCCTGTTCAACCTCCCCCAGAAGAATGTCTGTGATATCACTGACCATAGCACCAAGGACACAACAGACCATCCTGAAATCACATCAGTGGCTGCAAAAACGCCTGCCTGCTTCCCTCACCATAGAATTCCCTTTCAGTACTGCCCTTTCACTCTTCTTCCTCCACTCGTGCAAAGCTGGTCTACCTGTGGTGCCATTAGCTTGACTCTTGTTACACTCCAATATCTAGAAAGGAAACAGCTAGCCAGCAGGACCACTGGGGATTCCTGCAGTATCCTCCTGTTTCTCTTGGTTTGCTGGTGTCAGTCAATCCTTATCTGCCTGCTTATCCCTTATTTGGAGCATGACGACATCTCTGTGTGTGCAAACTATGTAAATTGCTGCACCTCAGTGATTCCAGCTGTTGCTCCAGCTCTGATGCTCAGAGCTCAAGGTTATGCATCATGGTCACTTCCAGCCCAACTGGGTCGTGAGATGGGTCCACAACTCCCCACACACCGCAATCTGTTTGGTTGAGCTGCCCTGCCGTACCTTTTAAGAGAATCTCGATCGAGGAGCTTTTGCTTAAAGTCAAGGGGTCCCTATTTAGAACAACACATCAGACAAAATACTTAATTCCAGAGGATCGTGATTCTTTGAAATTCTCTTCTTGAGAAAGTGGTGAGACGAAGTCCTTGAATATTTTTAAGGCAGAAGTAAACAGTTTCTTGTTAAACAAGGGGGCGAAAGGTTATCAGGGATAGATGGAAATGTGGACTTGAAGTTATGATCTGAAAAGCCATAATCTCATCAAGTAGCGGAGCAAGCTCAAGGGGCTGATTTATATGTTTGTATATTCTTCCCATGTCGTTGCAGACTCTGTCCTGTAAAGAATATTGCTTTGCATTTTTCTGTATTGTTCAATGTGTACTTGAAATGAGAAAAGAATTATTTTGAAGCCAAGAGTTACTGGAGGACTGCAGCATGTTTTGACAGCAAGTAACCTGGAACTCTTTGTAAACATTATTTGCACGGCTGCTTGTTCCAGCAGTAGTTGAAGTGAAATTGCAGATGAGCTGAAGCTGAAGAGTTGTATAAAAATAAAGCTTTGGCTGGCAACAAGTAGCTGATTGGTCTGCATTCTGATGACTCAGCTATCTGTGACAAAGGTCACCTGTTTGCCAACAACTACATGGTTCTCAGGTCACTGAACAGCTTGGTTTGTGGGCAAGATACACAGAAGTCATCAGATCATCACCAGCCCAGAAGCTGTCTCTGTTCTGTGCAGCAAAACCCACTTTAAGCCTGAAGAAACTCAACTTATCTTTCCTTCAGCAGTTGCTGTTATTTTTAGTTTATAAGCGAGAGAACTTTATACAAGTGTGAACCTGTGCCTCCTGCAAACCAGTGAAGCAGTGCTCTGACCAGCGCAAGAAATGTAAGAATCCTCTCAGCAACCCTTTAAACATGAACCATTTAAATGCCTACCCAGTCTTAAATGAAACAAAAGAAAATAAAGAACTGTGGATGCTGGAGATCTGAACCAAAAGCAGAAATTTCTGGTGAAACTCAGCAGACCTGGCAACATCTTTGGGAAGAAAACAGAGTTAATGGTTTGAGTCTGGTGACTCTTCATCAGAACTGACAGCATTTGCTCGAAACGTTAACTCTGCTTTCTTCCCACAGAGGCTGCCAGACCTGCCGAGTTTCACAGCAATTTGTGTTTTCGTCTTCCCAGTCTTTCCTTCCATCCATAACACCCATGTTTCATTCCTGTGAGTGTGTGTGTGTGTGTGTGTGTGTCTGTGTGTATACAATTTACCTGTAGCTAAAGTCTTGTTAAATATAGAAACCTGGTCCCTGCTTTTTATCAACTTCGATCTAAAAGATACGTAAGTTGAAGAATTCTGCAAGCTTTTTAAAATCTTTAACTTTTGTTATGATACTGGGAATAATGGGGCTTGATTTACAACATGCTACCCCAGTGAAGTGTGACACTTTCAATAGACCATTATTGGTGAGGAGATCCAACATTCGATCAGATGAGCCAACTCAGCATTCTCTGGCAGCAAAGTAAGTCTGGCAGTAAGTCAACAAAAGTACTCATGCAGAGAGCAGTTGTCATTGTTACACTCCTGTGCTGGACTGGGTATCAGTAACACAACAGCCTGAGAGAAATTCCACCAGCAATGCCTTCACTGATTTCTGTGGCTGCAATAGGAGCACTGTCAAACAACACTCGTATCCTTTTTGAAGCCAGCTCAACAGCATTCAGGCAAAACCCAGGTAAAATCATCAATGATGGACTGGATACAATGCCTTGATGGTTGAAAAGTTTCTTCCCAACCAGATCGTATTTTCTAAACTGACAAGTGGCCAGCGTTCCAGGAGGAGACAAGAAAAAGCCGTAAAAACACACTGAAATTCATGTATGAAGTAAAACAGTATTGGTGTTAGCGATTGAAAGCAGCCTATTACTAGATGTTTGAAATGGCAACAGTTTGTCCATCAAGCCACATGATACTCTGTGTTCAAATACCTTAATAAAGGAGTAAATCCTCCACTCAGGATTCCATT